ATCATCGCCAATTCCCCACACATGGCTGTTGTTCTTAGCGATTTCACTCAAACCCTAGATATGGAATGTGCTAGGTTTAGAACTTTCTCATGGTATCAGAGCCTGGTTGGCTGCTGACCATCTTTACCCTTTAAACGACGTTTCTTCTTTTTGCATTTCTCAAATCCCAGACTCTCTGTTCTCATTCTCTAAACGATGGAAGGCAAAGATGGTTCTTCTGGATCTGAAGCTGAAAACCAAGACAAAGGAAAGGAAATTGTACAGCAACGTTACGAAGACCCTTACAGCAATCCCTACTACTTGGCACAGAGCGACAACTCCTTTCTCCCCGTCATCGGCTTCAAGCTCAACGATGACAACTACTTGCTCTGGAGTGAGTCCATGGAGGTCGCCCTGCGCACCAAAAACAAGCTGGGTTTTGTCCTTGGAACGATTCAGGTACCACCTAACACAGATCCTATGTATGGCACCTGGGATAGAGTGAACGGAACAGTGGTGTGTTGGATTAGAAACTCTGTTTCAGATGATATTGTTCCCAGCCTTAGAAACATTAGGGTTGCCTCAGAAGCTTGGACTTATCTTAAATCCAAGTTCAGTCAAGGTGATTCAGTACGAATTGCCAATTTACAGGACAAGATTGACCTCATTAAGCAAGGAACCCTAACTGTTAGACAATACCACACTGATTTGAAGGTTTTGTGGGATGAACAAGAGAGCTATCTCCCCATACCTTACTGTGATTGTGCTTCCAGGACATATGAAACAGTGATTATGTATAGGGATCGAGCTAAGGTGATCAAATTCCTGCTGGGTTTGAATGAGAAGTACCAGCAGGTGAAAACCCAAATGCTCATGTTAGATCCTTTGCCTGACTTGGATAGCATCTATAGATCTGTAGTGCAATTGGAGAGACAGTTGAATGGAGCTGGTGGAAACACTGGAAAGTCAGAAGAGGCCATTGCACTGGCTACAGCTCTTGCTGCATCCAAGTCTCAATCAGGACAAGGAAGAGACAAGTTTCACAAAGAAGCTACTCAAGACACTGGACTATTCTGCCGCTATTGCAAGAAGGATAACCACGTTATCCAGGACTGCTGGAAACTTAAAAGGAAAAACAAAGAAGGAGGAGGAAGAAACTTTGCTGGTTCTGTTGATGTCAATGCAGTGGAGAGGAATGGTCCAGGAGGAGGAACTCCAACTTACTCTCCTACAAGCCCTGGAAGCAGCTCAGACAATCAATCTGCATTCTCAGGCTTCACAGCAGAAGAGCTCAATCGTCTTAAGGCCTTGCTGCAAACTCCACAGCAACAAGCTCATCCTTCAGTTAACTCTATCACAACCAGTAACACTGCCATGACAGATATTTCTGTGTTCTCTATAACTTCTAAATCCAGCAATGGAGATATGTGGATCCTGGACACAGGAGCCAGTGATCACATAATCTGTTCAATGACATATTTCCTCAAATGCAAAGAGGTTCAGAACCTTACAGTAACCCTACCTAATGGCCAAGTTGCCATTGTCACACACATTGGTATAGTTAAGCTACCTTGTGGTCTATTCCTCACAATGTCCTATTAGTGCCTACTTTCAGTTACAATCTCATTTCTATTAGTAAGCTCACACAAAACAGCCCTATCTCACTTTTGTTTGAATCCAATTTTTGTTGTATCCAGGACCTAATCTCTCGACAGAGGATTGGTTTAATCCACGTAGATAGAGGGTTGTATTTGCTTGAAGGAGTGACATCACCTGGAAAGGATTGCAAACCCACAGTTTTTGGAGTGACCACCACTAAAGGCTCAGAGCTCTGGCATGCCAGATTAGGACACTTGTCTTTACCTAGATTACAAGAGATACAGAAAAACCATGTTGATGTTATTGTTCCAGAGATTTTAGACTGTGAAATTTGCCATCTAGCTAAACAAAAGAGGCTGCCTTTTTCCAGAAGCACCTCAAAAGCTAGAGAAACCTTTGACATTGTTCATGTTGACATCTGGGGACCAGTTGATGTGGTTTCCCATGATGGATTCAAGTATTTTCTTACTGTTCTTGATGATTGTAGTCGAAGTACTTGGTTATACCTTATGAAGAACAAATCAGAAGCAAGAGATTTGTTGCAAAACTTTCATGCTATTATTGATACTCAGTTTGGTAAAAGAATCAAGACCATTAGGTCTGATCAGGGGCAGGAATTCAACATGCCAGCCTTTTATCAAAGGCATGGCATAGTGCATGAAATGTCTTGTGCCAGGACTGCACAGCAAAATGGACGAGTAGAACGCAAACATCAGCATCTGCTGAATGTTGCAAGAGCATTAAAATTGCAGTCAGGAGCACCTGTTAGTTTCTGGAGTCATATGGTTATGCATGCTGCCTATTTAATCAACAGGACACCAACTCCTGTTCTGAATAATAAAACACCTTTTGAATGCTTATATGGGATCCCTCCAGATTATGCAAACTTGAAGGTGTTTGGCTGCTTAGCATATGCTACCATACTTGATGAACACAAACGCAAATTTGACTCCAGAGCTAAGAAATCTGTCTTCCTTGGATACAGATTTGGCATTAAAGGGTTTAAGCTGTATGATTTGGAAACTCATGATGTTTTTGTCAGTAGAGACGTGGACTTCAATGAAACTTCCTTCCCTTTTAAAGCAGCTGAGAGTAACACTTCCCCAAGTCCACAACCAAACATACCCATGGATCTTTCCATTAACCCCACAGCACGTGATTTTTTCCCTCAGGATCATAATGTGCATGAAACCAATGACTCTGATTACTATCCATCAGATTCTGAACTTGATGCTTCACCTACTTCTTCATCAAGTTCCCCTTCCATGTCACCTGGTTTCAGCCCATCAAGCACATCACCTACCCCTGCCACACCACCTACACCTTCATCATCCACCTCACCTCCTTCCTCCTCCACACAGGTTACTCCTCCACCTATTCTCAGGAAATCTACAAGAATTCCTAAACAGCCTGTTCATTTGAAAGACTATCACACTTCTTTTCTAAGTCAAGCCACTTTTGGAGAACATGATTCCAAACTTTTATACCCACTTTCTCATCACCTAGACTACTCTCACTTGTCCCCTTCCCATCTTCATTACATCATGTCTATTTCTGCCACCACTGATCCCCAAAGTTACTCTCAAGCTGTTCTAGAAGACTGCTGGAACCAAGCAGTTCAGGAGGAGCTTAAAGCTCTGTTTGATAATGGCACATGGAAGGTGGTGGATCGACCTCCTGGTAAGAAGATCATAGGGAACAAATCGTTATTCAAAACCAAATTCACCTCAGAAGGACACATTGACAAAAGGAAGGCTAGGTTGGTGGCTAAGGGGTATACTCAGACATATGGGGTTGATTTTGTGGACACCTTTTCTCCTGTAGCAAAGTTAAATTCTGTTAAATTGCTCGTAGCAGTTGCAGCTGCCAAGAACTGGCATCTCCATCAAATGGATGTCAGTAATGCATTCCTCCATGGTGACTTAGAGGAGGAGGTTTACATGGAATTGCCTGAAGGTTTGAGGGAGCTAAGTCACATGAAGGGAAAGGTATGTAAATTGGAAAAATCCTTATATGGATTAAAACAAGCAAGTAGACAGTGGTTCATCAAACTGTCTGACTACTTGAAGTCAGCAGGATTCAGACAATCCCTTGAGGATTATTCAGTGTTTAGTACACAATCAATCATCCTTATTGTGTATGTTGATGACATACTCTTGGCAGGATCTAACTTAGATGATATTGAGTGTGTGAAACACAAACTGAAGCAAGGTTTTAAGATCAAGGACCTAGGCAACATGAAATACTTCCTGGGGTTGGAAGTTGCCAGAAGCAAAGAAGGAATCTCATTGAATCAAAGGAAGTTCTGTTTAGAACTGTTAGCTAATGCAGAATTTTTGGAAAGCAAGCCTGCAAAGACACCACTTAGCATGAAGACAGTGTATTCTGCAACAGATGGAATTCCTCTAGAAAATGGGAATGATTACAGACACTGGCTTGGACAGCTCCAATACTTGACTTCTACCAGGCCAGACATAACATTTCCAGTCCAGCAATTACGTCAGTTCCAAGCAAACCCCACTACTGCTCATTTAAAGGGACTCCAGAGAATTCTGAGATACTTGAAGGGTAATCCAAGTCAAGGTCTATGGTTTTCTGCTAATTCAGACCTCACCATAAAGGGGTTTTGTGACTCGGACTGGGCAACGTGCCCTGACACTAGGAAGTCAGTGACTGGATATTGCACTTTCCTAGGGGATTCATTAGTTACATGGAAGAGTAAGAAGCAAAATACAGTTTCCAGGTCTTCTTCAGAGGCAGAATACAGAGCATTGGCACAGCTCTCATGTGAGGTACAGTGGCTTAAGTCTCTATTACTCTTCTATGGATTCAATCACTCACAACCTATACAAATCTACTGTGACAACCAATCTGCTATTCATATAGCAGAAAATCCTGTCTTTCACGAACGAACAAAGCATATTGAGGTTGATTGCCATGTTGTTCGTGAAAGATTAAAATCAGGCCTCCTGAAGTTGTCACACATTGGTACAGAAGAACAGTTAGCTGATCTGTTCACTAAAGGACTATCAGCAGATCGATTTGATTATTTGTTATCCAAGCTGGCAGTACATGATTTGTACTTGCCAGCTTGAGGGAGGGTGTGAAGCAGATGCATGGAATGGCTGCATTGATTTATGATGGAATATGAAGATGATGATGCAGCCATTGCATTCTGCAGATACAGCAGCAACTGCAGACCACGAAGACCTTCAGTCAAGCTTCCTTTAACTTGGCTGAAGCTAAACGCTGCCGTATCAGTTAGAGTAAATAGACAATAAGTTTTCACTCTTGCTTTGCCACTTGGCACAATGTAAATGGTAGGATTATTAGTTTGTTATTCTTACCGTTGCTGTATAGTGAAAACTGATTCTTGTATATATATGAGAAATCCCACAGAGGAAAGGCATCATCGCCAATTCCCCACACATGGCTGCTGTTCTTAGCGATTTCACTCAAACCCTAGATATGGAATGTGCTAGGTTTAGAACTTTCTCATGGGCTGGCCGGATTTTAATAATGCCAACACTCCATCTCCACTCCTTGGCTTCCTAAATTAGCCATGGCAGAATCAAGACAATAACTCTGCAACCCGCCGCCGCCGCCACCGCCGCATTTCCTTCCGTCTCGCCGGTTTCTAGGGCTTTTCAATTTCTTTTGTTGAGAAAAAATTTAGGAAGGAACATATGAGCTGCTTCTCTTGCATTAATCGCCGGAAGGGGGTGAAGATCGACATCGAGAAGGCCCCTGGGTCTTCCAATTACCACAGCAACTCCTCCGATGACTCTGGTTCGAATCTGAATCTGAATGTTTGTCATCTTTCGAACCTTCTTTTTTCTTCCGATTGTCATTGTTTGTTTTTTGTTTTTGTTCATGGTATGGTGATGTAGGTAGCGGGAAGACGAAGAAAGAACTGGAAGACAAGCTACCGAAGGGGAGTGGGGCGAGGAGTTTCTCGTTCAGGGAGCTGGCGAATGCTACCCAGAATTTCAGGGACTTGAATTTGGTCGGAGAAGGAGGATTTGGCCGAGTTTACAAAGGCCGCTTGGACAAAGGCGAGGTATATTATACTTTTCTTTCCAATGATCAAATTTGTCACCAAACTCGTCTCTACCCATCACTCTCCGCATTACACCTGATATCTGAGACATCTAAAGCTCGAAACTTGTCCTATTAAATTACGGTTGTGGAGAGTTTGGTGCTTTAGTTGTCTCAATATGGAGTTTAGGATTCAATGTGATACATAAATGAGTATTGGGTGATGATATTTAATCGTATCATATGCTTATGTATTGGGCTGAATGAGATTCATTCCCTGATTGCTTCTGTTCGTGTGTGATCACTATGTGGCAGATTGTTGCGGTGAAGCAGCTGAACCAGGATGGAATGCAGGGGAATCAGGAATTCATCGTTGAGGTTCTAATGTTGAGCTTACTACACCATCCTAACCTTGTTACCTTGACTGGCTACTGCACTGCTGGAGACCAGAGATTGTTGGTCTACGAGTACATGCCACGAGGCAGCTTGGAACATCACCTTTTCGGTATGGCATTAACATCTTCTAAGCCCAATGCATGGTTGATTGAGCGTTACTAGTATTGAGTTTATCCAATTCTTTGTAGGATTCTAGAAACAGATAGATTATAGTCTGTTGGGATGAGTGATTTAAGTGGGTGAAGATTGTTCAATATGGATTTCCAGATGATCTTTTGGAACTTGGAAGGGGTGGATTTCGAATTCTGCATGTTGGAGTTTTTTCTTTAACGATGGGTTGCGTTCGCTATTAAACATTTCCTTGCAAGTTCATCTAGTAAAAGTGAAGCATTAAACTTGAATGTTGCATATGGTGGTGTTTGTTTTTGTATCCCAGATGTGGATGGCAAAGAGCCATTGAGTTGGAGCACGCGGATGAAGATCGCAGTGAATGCAGCTAGAGGCCTAGAGTACCTTCACTGCAAAGCCAATCCACCAGTGATCTACCGCGACCTGAAATCCGCTAACATCTTGCTGGATAATGACTTCCACGCCAAGCTATCGGATTTTGGGCTCGCGAAACTGGGACCAGTTGGCGACAACACTCACGTCTCAACTCGAGTCATGGGAACATACGGATACTGTGCCCCTGAGTATGCCATGAGCGGGAAATTGACTCTTAAATCCGACATCTATAGCTTTGGTGTGGTTCTGTTGGAGCTCATCACTGGACGGAAGGCAATGGATTATAGCAGAAGGCAAGGTGAACAGAACCTTGTTGTTTGGGTGAGTGATATGAAAAGTCTTCAGTTTTTTTCTTAGCTTTACCAAACCCTTGGGCTTTTAAACAAAACTAGAGAGCTAGCATATGGTACATAGTAATGAAATTCTCTTTCCTTTTAATTTTTGCAGTCTCGCCCCTATCTGAAAGATCCGAAGAAATTCTGTCAAATGGCCGACCCTCAGCTACAGGGCCGCTACCCTCGTCGCTGTCTGAACTATGCAATTGCCGTAACTGCAATGTGCCTCCACGAAGAAGCACATTTCCGGCCTCTGATTGGCGACATAGTGGTTGCTCTCGAGTACGTAGCTGCACAGAGTGCTGAGCACATGAGCGGAAAAGCACGAAGCGAGATTGCCTTGCCCTCCTCGAAATCTGACGGAAGTGAACCAATGACGCCACCCTCCTCAAAATCGGAGGTAAATGCCCGTAGCGAAATCATCTTGCCCTACTCAAGATCAGACAGAAGTGGACCAATGACGCCACCCTCATCAAAATCAGAGGTAAATGCCCCTAGTGAAATCGTCTTGCCCTCCTCAAAATCAGACAGAAGTGGACCAATGATGCCACCCTCCTCAAAATCGAAGGTAAATGCACCTCAGCAGTTGCTATCCTCGCCTATCTCGAATTCAGATAGAGACCCTCAGAAACAAGATCTCGTCACCACTAGCGCTTCGTTCTAATTTATGTCTGTGGTCGGCGCTCAGAGGCTGATTTTCTGGAAAAGAACACCCTTCATTGGATCATCGCAAGTAAGTTGCTTAGTCAAATTAGGTATGATCTAAATGGAAGGAAGAACTATGTTTTTTTTTTTTTTTGAGTTTGTCCTGAGTTCTTATGGTGTGAAGTTTTTCCTGCAGATTTCTTGCAAGCTGTGAGAAAGGGATGGAAAAGAGTGAGTATACATAAAAAATACGAATGAATGTTGTTTATATGTTATACAGAATGTGTACATGAATTGCACATAAGGGTGTGATGTTTGGGAGGGTAGAAAGAGCTTGTTTTGTTTTCTTCTTTTCCACTTCTCCTCCATTTTCCCCCCATCCTCTTGTTTTATTTACTATGAAGAATGGAGCAAAATGTGTAGATTCTATCAATAAAAGGGATCCATTCATAGCACCCCTTACAAAATTGACATCAATGCTCATTGGTATTAAGTTATTTTTGCTTGGGTTATTTTTCTAGAACTGGTCTCTTTCATTTTCCCCCATAGAAGATACTCTTGACGATGTTTATATACCTAGTGAACCATTAATGAAGCCTGCAGCTGAACAAAATAGCATGATTAATGGTATTGCACCAGATGAGATGAGAAAGGTCTCTCCAGTTACAAACCAGACTAGTATCAGTTTCGAGAAGCAAGAAGATCGACCTTCTGTCTCGTTGCAGCCATGAGGAGATACTAAGTTACTGCTGATTACATCACATACAGTGTCATTTCTTACTGAAATAGCATAGATCATCGGCCGACGATAGATTATTTTAGTCATGGAATGCCCCTTGTTATTAGCTACTGATCTTTGCTTTACCGAATACACCATATTGCATGAATTCAGCTTAACATGCTACGCTGAAAAATCAGACAAATACAATGCTTTCTGACATCTAAATGTAAAGAAAGCAGAGACCACAATGATAGTAAATTTTGCTTTGAAGTTGGCGTGCAAATTTGTTCATCTACAGCAATACTTGAATGGGCACTTTTCCACAACTAGTTCACTCGTATTATCGAGCAAGAATAGCATACAACGAAAGGACTTTTGTTGACAGCACTAAATGGACAGCCCTGTTTCTTTTCACGGTCTAAAAACACCACATTCTACTGTTGAAAACATGTTTGAATCGTCACTTGAAAACAAATAACAAGCCCCTTCTGTTGTTCAGAAACAACAGATATTTTGTTACAAGTTTATTCACTTCATTGAAGAATAATGAATCAGCCAGATAAACACCAAACTAAACCTACTACTCATATAAGATCCCATTTGCCTTAACGATCCCGATAGGGAACCTTGCATTCAACTGTTCTAAAGACCATTTCTAGAGCTAAAGAACACTTGTCTCCTACTTTTACTGTACAGAAACACTATCTACAGACACATCTTGATCACACGCCTCGAGAAGAAACCTGGAGCAAGAGTTTTATAGTTTGGCTCCCAGATGCTTGGCAGACTTCAATACATTCCTCGACATCTTCGTCGCACGTTATCAGCACCCACTCAGAGTCGTCGTCCAAATACTTGACATCAAACCTGCTCATGTCATCGATACCAAACCGCCTTGCAATCTCCATCAACAAGTCATTGAACCTCCAGTTGCTGGACATTCGGAACCTCACTATCTCGTTCCCGTATGCAACTTTCACTCGCTGGGCATCTGCTTTCCACTGGGAAACCCGAATGCCAGGGTTCTTTGACGAGAGAGGAGGATGTTCGCCCAAATTACCCCGGTCTGCCAGAGACTGATGGCTCTGAGCTCTTGGGAGTTGTACCTTAACGGGCTCCTCTTCCCCAAAGGCACGAAGCTCTGCTTCACTTCTGATCCTTTTTATCTCCCCACTTGCACCTGACGAAGACGAGTCCTTTCCCACCATGGAAGGACACTCGGTGGCTTGAACTTGCTTGTGTGACTCGCTGGAGAAGGAGTGGCTCGAGTTAGAACCCTGACTGCATGAAGATGAGGAAGTTGATTTTACTGCAGCTACATGGGCACCACTACTAGAAATGTCGGCAGCCTCAGGCTGCGTGCTCAACAGGTTCAGGGTATCGTCTGGCTTCGAAGCCGGTGGAGAGCCCAACTCGGGGAAGTTGGAGTAGAACGAACGTATGTGCAACGAACCAGAGCCGCCTTGAACCGAATCCATCACAACCTGGAGCTTCTGCAATGAGTGACCAACCTTCTTCAGCTTTCGAGAAGGCCATCGCGTGATCCCATGCTGCCTGCAGATTCGTTTCAATGTCGTCGGACACACTGCGATCACAACAGAAGAAATGACAGGCAAGCAAGCAGTCAGCAACATATTAGTTCGATGTGACAACCAAGTTGTAAGAGCTAAATACCATTCTTGTTACCAAACTCGCTTATATGTATCACATTGTGCAGGGAATTTGGCATCGAATGCTATAGCAGTCTTGATACCGAGCTTCGTGTCGAAAATAGCATGCAACCAAAATCGAAAGCATAAAAGATCAAACATTTTTACACACCTCCAAGACTCTTAGCAGCATCTTTCAAACTTCCAGCAAAATGCTGCCTAAGAACTTCCAATGTGATCTTCTTCTCTGCCTTGGTACGCTTTCTATCCACTTGCTTTCCCTCACCGGAATTATTCAAACCATCCGGTGATTTCACCCTCAATCCTGCGCCTATTTCCGGCAATGCAACGTCACCCTCACATTCCTGAGCTCCCTCGAGCCCATCACCATCAAGAGGAGGCCTAGAAGAATCACCATAGCGATCCGGCCCACAAATCGAAAGATCCGCTTCTTCTCGCTCAATTTCCTCATCCGTCACCACCCTCAATGTCCGGCAAACTCTCTGAATAATCACCGACAACGAATTCAGCATCTCTTCCTGTTGCTCGGCCGCTCGGCAGTCTGCTGGCAAGAAGAACTCAAGCACGAAATCCGACGACCCCGTGTGTACGCTCCTCAGACGAATTGCCACCGCGGCACACAATCCGAACATGCTGGCGTGGTGTGATAAGGGGTACTCGGTCTTGGAAAACCCCGTCACATCGCCGGAGAAGCATGGCTGGTTCGTGGTGAATGCTCTGCCCGCAATGCCTTGTCCTTTAAGCAAGTGATGCTCGGAGCAGGCCTCGTGGAAGCCTCGAATTCGGGGGTCGGATACGAAGCAGGCTTGATCTACCGTGGAGACGCAGTGAGGGTAGTTCTCATCGGAATGCCGGCTGCCTTTCTTCCCCTGCTGGATGCAGGGTACCCATGTTTGAGCTAAGGGGAGGTTGTGTGTCTGGCAAGCTGATTTCAGGACTTCTTGGATTTCAGGCAATGCGGCTTGGTAGGCGATCTCTTGAGCCTGGAAAATAAAAAGGAATATGACTCAGGAAATGAACAATTACTTATTGATTATGTAACAAATTCATAGCTTTTCTACTGGTTTACCTTCATGTTCAGACAGCTGGGATTTTCAGAACTCCTGAGATCAACAGCCTGCAAATGGAGATAAAAAGTTCAACACTTTAGAAACCTCCTGGTCATAATCACTTCTTCTTTCTTTCTTCCAGGGTTAATTGCCTAAATGATCAGTAAACTATAAGGTTTCTTCGTGGAACTGCTAATCAAGCTCAGTGTTTTGTAAGCAAAACAGGCATTACATATATCTAAAGTTACTTTGGCTGAGCCTGGCTGAGTCAGGATGCAAAATAGGCTCGCCACCCTACCAAGATCACCTAGTCAGCATCCCATGTATCCACCCGACCCCAACTCTTCCCAGATCAAGGGTGGGTTCGATGTCGACTTCGTACTTTCGCTCACACGCAGGTTGCAAGTCAGATTTGTGGGTTAGGGCCTTAGGGGTTAGTAACAACAGTGGGTGCATGGTGTGCTATTGATTGGCTGATGTTAATGACACGCGAGCCCATTTTGACATGCTGACTCGACTAAACTAGTGACAAACTCAACGAAGACTATTTCGATATGAATTGCTTAGTTTTGGCTTACTCTGAGCATATACAAAGGGACGGAAAGGCAAGTAGATGACAGCACTATTTGTTCACAAATCAAATTGGTAGTAGTAGCAGTAGTAGTACAGAAGAACACCAGCACAAAAATAAATATGGAACTTTTGCAAATATCATCAAAACTACCTAATCTTCACATCTACAAAAACTCAACCTAAAACTTTACAGAAACTAAACAATCCACCACAAACCTCAAGTGCTTTGGACACCTTCTCGAGCTCCGACTGATACTTGATCTCCTGCCTCGTCGTCACAATTTCAATCACACCCAAGCAACTCTTACTTTGTTGCTCAAACACTGGAACAGCCAGAGTGCCACACACATTGTGCTGTCGAGCGTGATCCACCCTAGGGTACTCCTCGCTCCTAAAGAACCTCACATCAGGACTCCACTCGGGCACTTTCCCCAAAAATACTCGACCGGGCATCCCCACAAGGTCCTTAGAGTCCTCCTCTTCAGCTGAAAACTGATAGTTTGTCGATATGTCCCTATAGTTAGCCAATGTTTGGGAGCTCCCATCTAGGGTGAATGGCTGGTTGTAAGTCGTCAATACACGCCTTCCCATTCGATCCGTGGGAACCCATATCTGGACGAGTGCATCTTTGTCCTTGATCAAGTCTCGTATCCCACCTATGGCGCCCATCAACCGGTCCCTTACTGAGCTCCCAGGCGCTTTAGGTCCAATCCACCACCTTTTGGAACCTTCAATTGCATCCTTTTCATTTCCTTCCCTCCCTGAGACACCAACTCCATTATGTGAAGAATTCCTCATTTCTACTGCTTCTTCTTTGCCCATTTCAGGTGTACTATCTGTAGGCATCTCGACATTGTTGGTGATCACCGGACAAGGTAAGGCATTTGACGATGGATGGAAAGTGAAATCTGCTGGACCAGGGTAGAAGAAATCTGATCCATCGGCTGCTGCCTCCAGCCAACAGCCATCGAGCAGCAATTCATCCATGTAATCGAAATCCATGGTATTGTCTGCCAAGGTATCGGCCAAAGAATCCAGCAGGGTTCCTGATTGCCAAGCGCCATCCATGCTTTGCCAAAACTCAGGCTCAAAAGAACAAACTTCTTCTTTGAAGAAACCAAGTAGAACACTGTCTTGAAATCCTAAAGACCTGTTTCAAAGCTGTTCAATCCCACCATAGTCAATACATAGGAAGCTAGCTACAAATAGCAAAAAGAAGACCAACCCAGATTGGCAAATACAGCCAACTTCCATATCTGAGAAAAGATAGATGCATTTCAAGAATTGAGTAGAGATTTTGGCTACTAACACATTTAGAGTCAATGAATGAACTTGAAGAACTCCAAAATGGAAAAGTGAAAAACAGGGAGATAGAAAAAAGTCCAGCTTAACAAACAACCATATCAAGTAAAGGAAGCCACTACATCCACTAAGTAGACCTAAAAAGGAGAAGAAAGAAGAAAAGCTGCGTCTTTTCTGCCCCATTCA